TAACGAGTTGGTTCTGCGCTAAGAGCAAAAGATCCTGGAATTGCTAGGCGAGTTAGACCAGGTCCGCAACCCTGCCAACTTGTCCCTCACCCTGAACGTCCCAGACATCAACCACCAAAACATCACTACCTAAAATCCACCACAACGTCAGAACCCACAACTACAAGCTCCATAGAATCATTCTACCACCCAACAATACCAAAACCCCATACCTCAACAAAATTTGAATCCTCCACCATGACATGTTCCACAACAAACTCAATACCCATAAACTATTACTTACCCCTCTCCTCAAAATACACCACAACCCACTCATGATCTACCCCAAGCATCCATAAATGATCACCTATATCCCCAAGTCCCTAGCACCCATTAAAGCAATCTCATATATGTGGAAACCTTGCCATATATAATAACCCATCAATCTCTATATACACCCGAACCTATTGAAAAAGACTTGCTCATTAAGAACATGGCCGAGGAGGTGAAGAAGCTATCTAGAAGGGTCCAGAGTTTCGAAGGAGGAAAGTTTATTGAAGGCCTGAACTATGAATAGTTATACATTCAACCTAATGTCGAGTTGCCCGAGGGTTACAAACCTCCAAAGTTCGAGATGTTTGACAGCACCGGTAATCCCAAAGAACACCTGGGAGCTTACTGCGACAAGCTCGTAGGCATGGGTAAAAATGACCAAATTTGCATGAAGTTGTTTATGCGAAGCCTTACAGGAGTTGCCTTGTCATGGTATATCAGTCAAAACCCAAAATAATAGTCCAATTGGGTGAATATGGCGTCTGATTTTATGGACATGTTTAGGTTCAACACCGAGAGTGCTCTAGATATGTTCTACATTCAGAACCTTAAGAAAAAGCACACCTAAACCTTCCGTGATTATGCTACCCGTTGTAGATCTGAAGGTGCTACGGTAAGGACACCACTAGAAGAAGAACGTATGAAAAAGTTCTTTGTACGAGCTCAGGACCCGCAATACTATGAAAGATTGATGGTCATAGAAAACCACAAATTCTTTGACATCAACAAGTTAGGAGAAAGAATTGAAGAAGGTATCAAGAGTGGCATGGTCACCAACTTCGAAGCTTTGCAGGCTACTAATAAAACTTTACAGTTTGGAAGAGTGTCGAAGAAGAAGAATGTGGGCGCCGTGATAGTATCCCAAGGGCCAAATTCTCCACTCACCTATCAAACACCCTTGTCAGTATATCATCCCTCATCCCAAAAATTCCATTATCCTGCCACCACCTACCATACATATAATACACAGCTAGCATACTATCACTCACCCCCACCTGCCTGACACACTACCGTAAACCTGAGCCAACTTCGACCGCAGATCACCCAGGGAATATACCCCTCTCGCTAAACACGTAGCACAAATGTATGAGTGGCTGAACGCCGCCGATTATATCACTCATATCCATGCAGCTGCAACCAAAAACTCAGTACAGTGGATTAACCCTAACAAAACCTGTGTCTACCACTCTAGCATAAACGGACACATCATTGAGGAATGTCGCATATTGAAGGATAAGATTCAAATGCCGATTAATACCAAAGTGATACAGTTGAAGGAGCCTATACCCAATGTCCACGACAACACCCTGCCCATCCATAAGGGTGAGGGGTAAATATGATTGAAACTGATGAAGAATGGCACCAATAAGAGTCCATTGGTCTTATTCGGGAGGGAGAAATTGTTGTGGCATCCCTTGTAGTACCCTTGTCTATTGTGGTGCAAGCAAAGACACTGTTTAAAGTCGAAGTGGCCATACTAGGCCACCGTGCACTATGATGGTAGCTCCATCACCTATCTATCACCCTAAAATTGTTCTGTGGGACTATGTTGCTGAAGCCAGAAGAAAAGGAATGGCCAAGGTGTAAGAAGCGGGCGTCGCTCAAGCAATGACTAGAATAGGAAGAGTGTACACACCTAAGAATCTTGTCCAAGGACGGTCAATTAAGGAGACTACACCGAAGCCCTATATTGTGGAAGCAAGTACCGATGACTTATGGAGGAAAGTATACGCCAAAGAGTATTTCGTTGTAGAAAATCTAAATAAAACCCCTGTCATGACCCAAATCGGAGGGCCGCGACATGCACCCGGCGCCTTACTCAACCGAGTACCAACATAACGTATCTTTCTTATCACACCATCATGGGTAAATGGGCCAGAAATGCCGTAATGAGATAACCAAAACAAAAAAAAGGGAATACTAGATATAGGACAACTAGACATGATATAGAAACTTATACATGTGACATACGGGTCTATATGGCCGACATGATCTTTTGTACACTCAAAACATAGGCTGACAAGTCCATACAAGTATCCATACACATGACATCTGTTTACAAGCTTCTAGGAGTACATAAACGTAATAAAGGTCGGGACAGGGCCCTGCCGTAACAATTAATACATGCCCAAATCATACTGACCAAATCATCAACTCCGGAGCAAGTTGAGTGCACCAACATCTTTCGCTGAGCTGATAGCCTACTAGGAGGACTATCAACCTGCCTATCGGGACCTGCGGGCATGAAGCGTAGCGTCCCCAAGCAAAAGGGACGTTAGTACAAATAAAGTACTGAGTATGTAAGGAATGAAAAGTAGTATATAAAATACATGAATTAAACATGGAGTAAATTACTCAACCTATAAGTCTGAATAGCTCTATGAATCATGAAACATTTACAATGTCATGCATCTGCGTATAAATGTCATATCATGCATAGGTATATGCGTAAATAACATCATCAAGCCTCTTAGGGCATCCCATCATATCATCTCGGCCTCTGTGGGCGAAATCATCATCGTATACTAGCTGATCATGTGGTGGTGCGTATATAAACCCATAACCTTTCCCCATACCCCATATACATATAATTTATGCGTATACAAGGCATAAAACACGCGATAAGTGCAAAACACTAGTGATTAAAGCTCAAATTCAATAAAAGTACAGTAAATTGGAGTGCAATAAGCGACTAATACACGAGATTATAGCCTACCATCTACACCCCACACTTAAATCATTGCTCGTCCTCGTGCAATCAAACTACACTTTATAATGACATAACCTCATTAAACAACTCTCCTAACTAACCTCATTAAACAACTCTCCTAACTCATCACACCAAGAATATTTAAAATAGACTAAGCACAATAGTGTAACATCTTTACCTCAAGATTTGACTCACAAGTACCACGCATTATTCACAACCCGCTCACTTACTCTAACGCAGAGGTCATTGATTCCTTTCCTTCATGAATCAAGTTCCATCACATAATAATCGAGAGTAGTTCCACACATAATAAAATTTAAAGAGCGATCCGAAAATCAAGATAGAAAGAATTCCCTTACTCTCAGAAACAACATTCATATGCCACAAAAGATGAACCATAGGCTTTCCCTTAGTGTACTACTCTACTAATTGAGCTCATTCAGTCAAGGATCATGTAGGACTTTAATTGATTGTAATGTAGGCTACAAGACGGGTTGGATACATTCAGATATAAGAATGACTACACCTCCCTAAGCACTTCAATACATACAATTAACCGTTCAAAACCCCACACTTATTTCGAACCATAGCTCCACCTTCAAATCAATATACCTCAACTCCCAAACTATTTAAGCACAATTATATCAAGAGCTACCACTTAGCAATGAGTATTTTGCACAATAATACAACTATTTTTTTATTTTTTTTCAATACAACTGGCTCTTATTTTTTTTTTCAAAACAGTGCACCCTTCTCCTTATTTCATTAGTTCCACTCAAAAGCCAAACCAACCACCCCACACTTCAACTTTTACAAAGTTCATAATAAATTCAAGTGCTTATGAGAGATGCAAGGTTCAATTAGATGGTCAATTCAAACAAAGGGGTAAAACTTTTAATGTGGTTGCCAAAGAAATAGGATTATAGGCTCAATGGGGTTAACTAAGATACATAACAATTAGGTGGGTAAACCTATATATCTGGCTCATCAAAGAAACGCCTACATCACTTCCAAGACTGAACAAAACTACTATTTCATTTTGCAAACACATGGGGCAAGTACTAGACATAAAATGCAATGCACAGAATAACACAAACCTCACACACACATGGCACATAACTCACTCAAGATTAAACTCATCAAGACACTCTAGTGAAAGCAGTTAACCAAAGTTAAAATTACATAATTTAAGGTACTTATACAAGATTCAAAAACTGAACCTAAGCGTCACAACTAAATCACTCACTATTCTATAGGCATAATAAAGTCAGGAGATATTGCTTCAATTTGAATCATAGCACAAGGTTTCGTACTCCTACTCCTAACAGAAATAAAAAACTAACTATACCCGGTTCAAACAAAACCCTTGAAAAAGAACTGCGGCACAAAGAAAAATAAAGGGGGAATTATTACACTACCTACAAAAGAAAATATTTTTGTCTTTTTTTTCCACTTAAATCCCTCAAGAAACCTATCAAATGATATCATCATCGGGAAAAGTCGAAAATTTTAAAATTTTTATGTTTTTTCAATTTTTTCCTACTACTCAACTAACAAAAGCAAAAGCAATCAAGCTAAATAAAGCAAAAACTATGACTACAGTATATACAACATACAAATATCCCCCACCCCACACTTGAAGTTGTGGCATGTCCCCATGACACACAATTAAAAGCATAAGGTAGCGGAAACTTCCCTGAATTTCTAGTCGGGACCTGAATCGAAGTCGGGATCCATTCCATGCGCCCGAACTAGTGCACACATCCCTGCAGACAGCTTCTTCTCAACCTTCTTGGGATACACCCCACACGTGTCTTTTGCATTCACTGCTGCCTTCCCTTTCACGCCCTTCACCTTCCATTCAACACTTGTAGCTGGTTTCTCCTTTTTCACTCCATTTTCTACATTCATCTCAAAAGTCACTGTCTCCTTACCCACTCTAAGCATGAGTTTTCTATCATGTATGTCTAATATAGCTCTACCCGTTGCTAAAAATGGTCTTCCTAGGAGGAGGGGGACCTCCTTGTTTCTCCTCCAAATTCACCACTATGAAATCTAAAGGAAATACAAACTTATCCACCTGCACCAAAACATCTTCTACTATCCCCTTGGGTGTTATAGTCATTTGGTCTACTAGCTTCAAAGATATTGGCACTGACCTTATCTCTCCGATCTCCTTCTCCAGTTTTCTATTAATAGACAATGACATTAGATTAATTGAGGCACCAGAATCACATAAAGACTTATCAATATGTAAAGTGCCTAAAGAGCAAGGTATAGTGAAACTCCCTGGATCTCTACACTTTTGTGGGAGTTTATTTTGTAAGATCGCGCTGCAATGCTCTGTGGGCTTGGCCATTGAGGTCTCCTCTATCTTTCTCTTCTTTATAAGGATCTCCTTCAAGAACTTTGTATAAGCTGGCATTTGTGAGAGAAATTCAATCAAGGCAGGTTTACATTAACCTCTCTCAGCATATCTGGAAATCTCTCAAACTGCTTGTCTAGCCTTTCTCTATAGATCTTTTGGGGAAACGGTAGAGCATGCATGTGCTTGCTCACATCATCAGATTCCTCTCTTCTTGAAGTTTCCTCCTTCTTCTTTTTCTTAGCTCCCTTCTTGCCTTTCTTCTTCTCAGTCTTTTTATCATCTTCCATTTTCAGCTCTTTCCCTTTTTCTTTTTCAGGCGCAACTTCATTGTGAATTGGAGTGGGATCTTTCAACACTTGTCCACTTCTCAAAGTCACAACATTTACCGTTTCTTAGGGATTGTTTTCAATATCAGCTAGCAGAGTACCTGGGATTCTCTCAGATAATATAGTTGCAATTTGTCCTACTTGTATCTCCAAACTTCGCAAACCTGTCCCAAGTTCTTTAATAGCTGCACCATGAGCATCTAATCTCTCATCTATCTTGACAATGAATGACTTCATCNGGTCATTGATGTTACCTTTCCTTCATGAATCAAGTTCCCTCACACAATAATCGAGAGTAGTTCCACACACAATAAAATTTAAAGAACGATCCGAAAATCAAGATAGAAAGAATTCCCTCACTCTCAGAAACAACATTCATATGCCACAAAAGATGAACCATAGGCTTTCCCTTAGTGTACTACTCTACTAATTGAGCTTATTCAGTCAAGGATCATGTAGGACTTTAATTGATTGTAATGTAGGCTACAAGACGGGTTGGATACATTTAGATATAAGAATGACTACACCTCCCTGAGCACTTCAATACATACAATTAACCATTCAAAACCCCACACTTATTTCGAACCATAGCTCCACCTTCAAATCAATATACCTCAACTCCCAAACTATTTAAGCACAATTATATCAAGAGTTACCACTTAGCAATGAGTATTTTGCACAATAATACAACAATTTTTTATTTTATTTTTTCAATATAAGTGGCTCTTATTTTTTTTCAAAACAGTGCACCCTTCTCCTTATTTCGTTAGTTCCACTCAAAAGCCAAATCAACCACCCCACACTTCAACTTTTACAAAGTTCATAACAAATTCAAGTGCTTATGAGAGATGCAAGGTTCAATTAGATGGTCAATTCAAACAAAGGGGTAAAACTTGTAATGTGGTTGCCAAAGAAACAGGATTATCGGCTCAAAGGGGTTAACTAAGATACATAAGTGGGTAAACCTAATTCAATGAATGGCAGGTCTCCTCTATCTTTCTCTTCTTTATAAGGATCTCCTTCAAGAACTTTGTATAAGCTGGCATTTGTGAGAGAAATTCAATGAATGGCAGGTTTACATTAACCTCTCTCAGCATATCTAGAAATCTCTCAACTGCTTGTCTAGCTTTTCTCTATAGATCTTTTAGGGAAACGGTAGAGCATGCATGTGCTTGCTCACATCATCAGATTCCTCTCTTCTTGAAGTTTCCTCCTTCTTCTTTTTCTTAGCTCCCTTCTTGCCTTTCTTTTTCTCAGTCTTTTTATCATCTTCAATTTTCAGCTCTTTCCCACTTTCTTTTTTAGGCGCAACTTCATTGTGAATTGGAGTGGGATCTTTCAACACTTGTCCACTTCTCAAAGTCACAACATTTACCGTTTCTTAGGGATTGGTTTCAATATCAGCTAGCAGAGTACCTGGGATTCTCTCAGATAATATAGTTGCAATTTGTCCTACTTGTATCTCCAAACTTCGCAAACCTATCCCAAGTTCTTTAATAGCTGCACCATGAGCATCTAATCTCTCATCTATCTTGACAATGAATGACTGCATCAGATCTTCTAACACAAACTGAATAGGTTGTTGAGGCTAAAATTGTGGCCTCTTTTGATTTTGGAAACCTAGAGCTCCTTGTCCCTGAAATCTAGGGTTGTTTTGTTGCCATTAATTTGCAGTACCTCGGGTGATCTCCATGAAAAACCAGGTTGTTTTTGGCCCATTGCATTGAAATTATAACTACCCACAGCATTCACTTCCTCCGTGGTAGCTTGACACTCATGAGAAGGGTGTCCTCTTTCACATATGTCACATGCTGCATGAGGCTCATTATGTATAGAAGCTAAGGTCAGCTTCTTTATTTCTTTTGCCATAGCATCAAGTTGTACCTGCACAGATGTGTTAGTATCAATCTGGTGAACACCAGTTGATCTTCTTCTTTCAACAATCTCATAGGGCCACTGATTTGCATCTTCGGATAATTCATCTAGAATAGTGACAATCTCCTCTGGAGACTTTTTCATCAACGGGCCTCCAGCTGCATTACTCAATGTTCTACGTGAGGCCAGTGTCAAACCATCCCAAAAATCCTGGAGTTGTATCCAGAATTCGATTCCACTATGTTGACACTTTCGCAAAATCTCCTTAAATCTTTCCCATGCTTCAAACACAGTCTCAGTCTCATTCTGGAAGAAGTTATGGATTTCTCTTCTAAACTTGACGTCTTAGCTGAGGAGAAATATTTTGCAAGAAACTTTGAGGTCATCTCCTCTCTACTTGATCCCGGTGCAAACTTCGAAGCCAGTGTTTTGCATCATCTTTCATAGTGAAGGGGAATTCCCTTAAGTACGCTACATCTTGTGACACACCATTGTATTGAAAGGTGTTCATGATCTCCTCGAAGTCCATTAGATGATTGTTTGGATATTCATTCATCTTTCCTCGGAAGACACAATTGTTTTGGAGGAGGATTTGGAGCAACCCTTGCTTCAATTAAAAATTGTTGGCTGCAACTGGAGGCGGTCTCACTCTGGATAAACCTTGGTTGTAGACAAGTCTAGCATAATCGCCAAGTGGTCTCCCTTGGCGGGGAGCTATGTTTTGGAACTGGTCTGGAACCAAGGGCTGATTCTGAGCCATTCTTTATGCCCTCTCCTCTTCATAAGTAATTTGTACATCTCTAAGTGCTGCTTCTTCAGCATCCCTTGCAGCTTTCTCTCTGAGTTGGGCAGCCTCACTTGCAGCCAAATCTACATTATCATCATCTCTGGCCATACTTTCTTTGGTTGAGGATTTCCCAACCTTCTTAATTTTCTCGGGGATATTTCGTTCCTTCCTCAACTGTTGCAGTTGTCTCTCAATTTCGGGTTCGTATGGTTATACTTCTTTCCCAGAAGATCGAGTCACGCACCAATCTAACATGTAGACTGCGCACAGTTAAAGAACACCAAACGTAAAAAGAGAAAAATAAAATAAAAGAAAAATTCCTGAATTAGCACTCCAAACTATTTCAAACACTATTGATTGCCAGTACCCGGCAATGGCGCCAAAATTTGACGAGCGCAAAACACGCGCTTAAATATGCTCGTTAGTCGAATATAGTAAAGTAAAATGTCGTATCCACAAGGATTGGAGTTAAACAGTATTTTCGTAGTTTATAGCTCGATTGCTATCCAAATTGATCAACACTTTGGAATTATGTGTCTTAAAACTAAAATTAACTAAGATTCTAATCTATTGACTAGTGACAAACAATGCAAGTAATAAGCAAAGGAAGATATTAATGGGAGAAGATAGGGTTGATTGGATAGGTGCAAGACAAATGTTTGGGGTTTGACTCTAGATAATTCACTTCTAATGTTCAAGTGAGTCTCTCGAATTCATTTGGTTATTAATTCAATTGTTTAATAGAAACTCCTTTCTCGATTAAGTCTCAAACTCACAATATGAACCAATTTAAGCTCGTGAAGTTTTGCACAAATTCATAGTGGAATAGTCTTTAGGAGAACCTCTCTCGATTATCCTCCTAACAAGGTTTAATCAACAACTCAACTTGCCTCTTCCGATTACCAAGAAGAATTAATGACTTCACCCAGCAAAATATAATGTACAAATATCACAAGTTATGCCCCTCTCGATTACATGAACAAGTGAATAGAGATGCAACGAATAAAACATCCAAAATGATTCAATACATAAAAACTAGAGTTATAATCCACAAACAAGTATCACAACACTAAATCCATCAAACCCTAAAGAGAACTACTCCATAGATATGGAGCAATTCATCACAAATTTGTTTACGTTAAAGGAAAACATAAACGATCCAAACTCTTGTCTTGAGTGAGGATTGAATGATGAAATCCTTGTGCTTTTATTCTCAAACTCCTCCTTAGCTTTCTTAGGTCAAACATGTGTCAAAAGTCCTAAAAATAATGTATTTACATGTATTGCTACTAAGTAGGGTCGGGCCTAGATAAATAGGATTCTGGCTCTGTAAAAATTGCACAGGCGCGCCGCATTGGGCGACACACCATGCGGTCATTTCTGGGAAACTTCAAAGAGCATATCATTTGATAAGACAACAGATTTGTACAGTCGCGGCACGCTACGCGTCGCCCCACGTGCGGCTGTGGACTTTTCTAAAAGCTATTTTTTTTCTTTGATCTCTGAAGTTTAGACATGGTTCTCGACCCCCAAACGTGATCCCGGCTTAATCCCTTGGGCTTTAACTCAGATTTCAAAGCTCCAAATAGCTCGAATTCATTCCATAACATCTACATCACCCGGAATCACTCCTACAAGGCACAAAACACGCAATAAGTGCAAAACACTAGCAAATAAAGCTCAAACTCAATTAAAGTGCAGTAAATTGGAGTGCAATATGTGACTAAAACACGAGATTATAGCCTACCATCAATTCCCGTGGGTGCAGGTAGATAGGCTGACGGCCCCCCTTCATAGGATTCTAGATCAGCGAGAGTTGGTGTGCTCCACTTGATCCGGAGCTGCTATTGATTTTGGTACGCTATTTTTGTATGTAGATATGGGTACGATGGGGCCTAGTGCCGTTCTTTATATAGCTGTACACTCTATTAGAGGTCTGTAGATAGTCATGTATAGTTGGATAGTATGTGGCCTTGTTGGCTTGTAGTTTTGGATATATAGTTCTATAGCAGCCTTGTCGGCTCGCCCTATCGTATTCCGTATGTATATGTATATATGTCTTTTGGGCA